ACGCACGCAAACAAAAATTAAATGTTTCATTTTATTCGTACCATTCAAATGATCCTGCCAAGACCAACATCCTATTTATTATAGCAATCAGTGATGAATCACTCTGATATGTTTATATGTTACAAAAAGTGTTTTAAAAACATCTGCCTCTGAAACATGTGTGTGTGCGTGTGCGTGTGTGTGCGTGTGCGTGTGTGTGCGTATGTGTGCGTGTGTGTGTGTGGTGTTATTGTGTGTCGACACCTATAATAATATGTATGTGTATGTAAATGTATGTATATTTTATCTGTAAGTGTGTCTGTTTACTGTATTTACTCGTGTGTGTGTATGTGTGTGCGTGTGTGTGCCTGTGTGCGTGTGGTGTGTGTGTATACCAAAAAATACATGGGCGTATTTTACAAGTACCTAGATAGATATGTCCCATAATAGGTAGATAAACTGAAAATGCGAAGTTAATGATGGTTGTTGCATAAGATCTGCAGATGTTTAACATTTCCATCGCATGTTCGCCAGGTTCATCAGGTTTACAAATCGTTCGTTAAACCTTAATGGTTCATCGTTTGGATAAATTTTCTTTGAGTGTTGTTTTTGTTAATTCCTTATAAAGTGGGTAGGGCACAAATGTTCCCTAATTTAGTTTAGAGGTATGGATTTATATTATAAAGACAGGTTGAAGTAGGTGGTTTTGGACATTTTTTCCGCTAATCTGACAATTTTCTCCAACTTCATTGCAATGACCACTGTTAGTTTAGTTAGCATTGTAGTTAACATTGTATATGAATGTTTCAAATACCTTGCTGAGAGAGCGTTGAAAACAATTTGAGAGCCTGAGTAAATTTGCGTGCACTTCAAGGCATTAATAAGCATTTCTATACACACATATACATAAACAACAATATAAACACAAACAAATGGTAAACTATATAAACATAAACATAGACTGCAAAGCAATCTTGTCAATTTGAGAGCATGAATAAATAATTTCACTGGCAGTGTTTACGTTCAGAAGCAACGAAACTTTATGAAAGAAAAAAACAAAGCCACACCACAAAAATTATGAAAAAATACAAAACCAAAAAACAAAACTGTGAAGACAACAACAACAACAAAAACAACAGCATAGTCAAAAACAATTACACGGAAGAAGAAAAAATTTACAATGCCAAATAAATTCGGGCTGCGTTTTTATGTTTCAAGAGAATTTTTTTTTTTTTTGGTAGGTGAATCAACCGACTTGCAACCAAAACACTAACAAAAACATCACAAACATAACATATACAAAAACATAAACATTATTATTATTATTTATATTATTATTATTTATACACATACCAAAGTAAAATAAAAAGAAGCAAGCGTTTCATAATTCCTCTAGGTTATAAGGAACTGGTTACAAAACAAATACACAAACATACATACATACAAACAAACAAACAAACATACATACATACATACATACATACATACATACATACATAAAAACATACATACATACAAACACACATACATATTTCATAATTAGGTCTAAGAAAGTGAACCCAATTCATCAGTAATAAATCATTCACAATGGCAATTTATCCCATTTTAACGGCAAAGTTATTATTATTTTTATTATTGTTGTTGTTGTTATTATTATTATTATTATTATTTAGTACTTCAGTAGAAATGTTTCTCTATTCAGCGCTCTACTGTAATAAAATTCGAATTATGGTGATAGTGGTGGCAGTGATGAGGAAGACGACGAAGATGATGATGACGATGATTTATTTTTTCACTCATTTATTTTTACATTCATTCATTCATTTATTCATTCGTTCGTTTATTCGTTCATTCGTTCGTTCGTTCATTCATTTATTCATTCATTCATTCATTTGTTCGTTCGTTCGTTCGTTCGTTTCGTTCATTCATTCATTCATTCATTCATTCATTCATTCATTCATTCATTCATTCATTCATTCATTCATTCATTCATTTATTTATTTATTCATTCATTCATTCATTCACTCATTCACTCATTCACTCACAAGAAATACTCGAGTGATAATTGAGGCACTTACATGTTCGAGATTGCATCTTAAAATGTTTACTTTAATTGTGTTTATAGAAAAAAAGCATTAAAAAATAATTTGTTTACATATCAAAGTCTATAAATAGATCTCTAAAAATAAATTTATGTCGTCATCATCATCGTCGTCGTCGTCATCATCATCATCAACAACAACGTCATCTTCATTATCAACACACTTAACAAGGTTGCGTCAGAGTAAGATTATAAATCGGTTACATCTTACGATAACAAACAAACATACAAGCAAACATACATACAACAAACAAACATACATACATGCATACATACATGCAAACAACAAACAAACACACATGCATACATTCATGCATAGATACATACATACATACTTACATACATATAAACAGACATACATACATACAATATACATATACAAAAACACACACACATTCACATACACGCGTCACGCATTCATATGTTGTAAAACACTTCAGATAAAAATAACCTTATGAAGAGATCTCCACACACACACACACACACACACACACACACACACACACACACACAGACAGACACAGACACAAACACACACACACACATGTGTTCATTTCATTTTTTTAATTTAGTATTATATCAAGATCTGTATATGCACGCTTATCAATATATATATATATATATATATATATATATATATATATATATTTATTCATTTATTAATATATTTATCTGTTTATTTATTTGTTTATTAATTCATCTTTTCATTCTTATTCAGATGAATGCATAAATGTGACTGGAAAGAAACATTTTATTCGCCTCAACATTCGTATGTCTGGATGAAAATTTATACAACGAGTCTTCTAATACAGACATAAAAAAAATGTCTGTTTCAATATTAAGTGATTCTATGCCAATAAACAATACATCAGTGTTTTATATTATATCAAAACGAATACACAACACACACACGCACACAACACATACACGCACATACATACACACTCAAACACACACATGCACATACATACAAACACACTCATACATTATGTCGATAAACAATAAATCACTGTTTCATATTATTATATTACAACGAATACACAAACACACACCCACACACACACACACACACACATACATACACATACACACATACAATTTACAATTCACAATTCGTTTATTTATCAAACCATACACACACATACATTCATACAAACACACACACACACACATATATGTATATATATATAATATATGTTGGGTTATTCAACCAAACTTAATACAGTTTCCATTTCGTGACCAATTGTATGTCTGAAAATTCCTGTTTGACTGTCTGTTCTGTTTTCTTACGGATATAAAACTCTGCGTGTGCGTGTTCTGCTAAAGTTACAATGTTTCAAAACAACTTTGGTATGTTTTAAATTTAATAAAAGAAAAAAAAAACTTCGCACACGGGCAGAAAGGTGAAGTTTTACCCCATGTTACTTTCAATTTAGCCCTCTGTCAAACTGACTAAACTGGAGACCGATTTGAGACATTTTTTCTGATGAGGAATGCTTAGGACACACGCACACCACACTCACACACACACACACACGCACACATAAACACATACACACACACACACACATACACACACATATATATAATATAGAATGTTATATTCTAAGTATATATATAGCTTAAGATAATTAGGATAGCTTAGAATACCTCGAATCTGGTAGCTACAAATTCTCAAAATTTCCAAAGTTCAACATCTGCGTCGGCTTGATATTGAATTGTAGATCCTGGTTCTCTTGCATCTTCATTAATTCCAATTCTTCTCCGTATGTTTTTTGGCTCGTAATTATATCTGAAATGGAAAATCCAACTTAAATTATGCTAATTTCAGATGGATCTGGAAAAAATTTGCGAAATTTTCAACTAGTCATGTTATTGATGACGTTGACTGAAGTAAAATTTATCACATTGTTGCATATAGTTTTTCAAATTTGTCGTCAGTATTTTGAGACATTTAGATTCATTCATTCATACTTTCATTCATTCATACATTCATTCATTCATCCATTCATTCGTTCGTTCGTTCGTTCGTTTGTTCGTTCGTTCGTTCGTTCGTTCGTTCGTTTGTTATGTATATATATAGTAAAAAATGCAATGACGATAACACATTTGTTGGTTGAATGTTATTTTTCTAGTTCCAAAGAAACGTTTTTTTAATTACAAACAGATCCTTTTGATGAAAAAAATTCAAACAAAACGAAATCAACACACAAAAAATTAAATTTGATTGATTGACATGATGACAGTATAAAGACAAAACAACGTCAATTATGTTTTTCGTTTGTTCATTAATTCATTCGTTTGCTCGTTCATTCGTTCGTTCGTTTGTTCGTTCGTTTGTATGTTTGTTTGTTCTTCATTCATTCGTTCATTTATTCATTCATATTCATTCATTCATTCGTTCGATCATTTATTTATTCATTTATTCATTCATCCATCCAATCACAATCATCCATGCAGTATTGAGTGTTAGTAATTGTAAAACCGTTACTTCATCCACATCATCATCGTCATCGTCATCTTCACCATCACAACTATCATCATCTCCATCATCATCTCCATCATCATCTCCATCATCATCTCCATCATCATCTTTAACCATCACCAACATCATCATCCTTATCGTCATCTTCACAATCACCATCATCATCATCTTCACCATCACCAACATCATCATCTTCATCGTCATCTTCACCATCACAACCACCATCATTATCGTCATCTTCACTATCACAATCACCATCAACATCATCATCATCATCTTCACCATCACAACCACCATCAAAATCGTCATCTTCATCGTCATCTTCACCATCACCAATATCATCATCTTTATCGTCATCTTCACCATCACAGCCACCATCATCTTCATCATCATCTTTAACCATCTTCACCATCATAATCTTCATCCTCATCTCAACTAGAAGGCACTGTTAACACAGTCCAAGGCGTTCAGGCAGAGGCAATCCAGCATGCCGTCACCATCTGGAATTGAAATAAACAAATAAATAAATAAATAATATTAATAATAACTAATTATAACAACAACAACAATAACAATTATAATAATAATACTAATAATGGGAACAGATCTTTTATTTTTCATCAAATGCGTAAAATCAAGAATTAATCAATTATTTAATTAATTATTTAAATAATTAATTAATTGTTTAATATAGAAATAGTCATAATTAAAATAAAATCGTAATCATCATATTTAGTCATCATTGCTCTTTATTTAAAATAAAATAAGTACAGCGATGATAAGATAATAATGATAATAAAATGGGATAAATTTGACCGAAATCTAGTTTGAGAACGTTGCAGGTGAACACCAGTCTATCGTTCACCCAGATCTCCACCATGTTCATGTACTTCACTGGTGTCAAGGTCACAGCGTGTCCTGCTGCTGTCAAGATCTCTAAAGGTCAGTGTCATTATTATTATTTAAATATACTTTATTACGAATAAATTATGATAATTATTTGAGGTATACTGTTGAGTCCCTCCAAACGTTTCGTCCTGTGTTCAAAGACGCCGAAACTTTCGTAAGGCCCGTAGAAAATTTCCACATTTGCTTTGGCCGGCATGTTTTTCTGAAAATTTGTTTTTTGATTTGTTGATTGGTTGGTTGGTTGGCTGGCTGGCTGGTTGATTTGTCGGTTCGCCGGTTTGTCAGTCGGTTGGTTGGTTAGTTGGTTGGTTGGTTGGTAGGTTGGTCGGTCGGTTGGTGTTGGTTAGTTGGTGTTGGTTGGTCGGTTGGTTGGTTGGTTGGTTGGTTGGTCGGTCAGTTGGTGTTGGTTAGTTGGTGTTGGTTGGTCGGTTGGTTGGTCGGTTGGTTGGTTGGTTTGTTGGTCGGTTTATTAACGGATTTTTAATTCATGAAGTATAAGGAATGGTCTCAAAAACAAAAAAATAAATGAACTAACTACAAATTTCAATTATAATAAAAGTAACGCCAAATTTTAATTTTAATTTATTAAAACAATAATCAAATTTAATTGTGGAATCAAATTTTTTTTCTCGGAAACTGTTCCTTGTTTGTTTATCAACGTTTGGTGAGTGTGTTTTGTCAAAAAGTACACTTAAGAGATTACGTAAATATAAAAAAAAATAAAATTATTATCTTTATTATTATTATTATTACTACTACTACTACTACTACTACTAATACTACTATTACTACTACTACTACTACTACTACTACTACTACTACTACTATTGCTGCTACTGCTACTACTGCAACTACTATTGTTATTTTATTATTGTTATTATTATTTTTATTGACTATAATCCTCTATTTGTACTCATTTTTGTCGAATGATGAGCAAATTAGACTAACAGCTTATTAATTTAAATACTTTATTATATTAAACATTATTTTATATAGATAGATCTATCTTTATATTCATATTGTTATAAATATTATTTTTTAACCCGGCGTGTGTTAGGCTTGAAAAAAAAATTCAAAATTATCTTCAAGTTGTACAACAAGAAATGTCTTGCTGTTGATAAATAACACTAATAATAATAATAGTAATAATAATAATAATAATAGTAATAATAATAATAATAAATAATAATAGAGGTATTGTTGATAATAATGTGTAATAATACTGATTTAGAAAATGTGATGGATACTTTTAAAACAGTTTTCCATGAAATTATTCGTTTTGTAATAAAAATGCTGAGATGACATTATTTTGGAAATACAAAGAATCGACAAATGAATTTTAATTGTGGGCGGTTATGCAAAGGTTCAAATGCTCTCAAGTCAACGTTGAGTTGAGTGTTTAGTTCAATTCCTATCTTAAATTAATCTTCATTTCAGTTAGCTTTCTTGAAAATTAACTCGGAAAAGGGTAGTATGTGAAATTATTTTGTAATTTCTTAATTAAATTTGTATATATTTGGTTTATTCTATTTTCTTAAATTATTATTTAATGTATTAAAAATAGTCTGACTTTTATAATTAATCGTGAAATTATTCTGAATGCAGGCAAAAATTAAAAAAAAATAATTTGACAGGAATGAGTCAGTTTGGGACGGCATGACATCCTCTATGGACAGTTCCTAAGTTTCTTTCGCTTAATTTCTTTTGTTTTTGCAAATTTTGAAGAAAAATCAGCTTGGCTTGAAATTTATTTGCTAATCAAATTTGTTAATCTTTTTTTATGTTTTTTCTTTTGTCCAAGTAACACGAAAAGACAAATTTTTGTGTTTTTATTTCAAAGTGAAAAAAAATGAAATTTGTATAACTCTCCTTAGTTATTTTATTAAAATGATGTTAACTATTATTATACTACACCAAGACTTTGTCCTCGTCAAAATGAATTGTAATAAATTATTTACAGTGCAAATTCAATCAATCACTCATACAATCAGTCAGTCAGTCAGTCGGTTGATCTGTCTTTCAATCA